CCCAGTATTGCTTTTCCTATTCTTTTATTGACTATGAAGGCTACTCCATTTCTTCTGAGGGATTCTTGCCCACAGTAGTATACCTGATGGTCATGGACAGTTGCTTTCTATGGTCATTGGTTAAAATGGCCTATGTTGTCAACTGTGGAAAAGTTGTCTGCTTCTTGTTTAGCATCTGAGTTTGGATGACAAATCTTGACATGGGAATATAACCCTTGATTTAAAGAAATTGTGTTAATTTAGAAAAACAGCTTGACTTTGTAGAGGACTGAGTCTGGGAATTTTTTTTTGTTGAATTATTAATATTTGTAAAAAACACGAACAATAACTGTTTTTAAAAGAAAAGGAAAAAGCAAAGCTGCACCATAGAACAAGACTATCTGTTGTCTTTTTTATTACATAATACTGCCAAGTCAAAGAGAAGAGCATCTACCAAATGTTGCATGAAGCTCTTAGAAGGGGATTTTGAAAGAAGAGTTTGCATTGTTCAGAAAGTCACTCAAGCAGAGTGAGGGTGGAATTCCATCTGTTCAGTTCAGTTCAGTTCAGCGAACTGGGTTTCTTTGAATGGTTCACTAAATTATGACTAACTAAAAATTACAGTTAATGTGCTTTAAAAATCTTGATCTGCATGACAAGATCATCTTATTGCTTGTTCTTTCTTGCCCTTGAGTTTATCACCTCAGATATGTCTGTGTATGAGGAGGAATGTACTGTAGGTGGAATAGCAGAAATATATGGATTCCTTTCTAGACAATTTACAATGTCTTAGATGGTATGAAGAACTTGTGAAGTCAACATGTTCCAGTTACTGTTGCTTCAAAGTGGTATGCTAACTCTGGGCTCATTTTCTAAGAAATCAGTTTTAACTTCCAGCAGTATCCTGGATGTATATAAATATGTTGATCTAATTATATATTTGCCTCATGAAGGAGTCTGCATTCTTGCTGTTTATCAGCCAAATAAACTAGTTGATAGTCTCTCTCTGAAATAATCCTAATTTTTATTAATAGGGTGATGGCTTTTGATCTTTTTGAGTTTTGGTTTCCAGGAAGCTGAGGCATTATGTCTGGCGTGAATGTATATTCATTGAGTTATTCTGCAGGATATGTGATTTTCCAGGTCAACTGTTTCTAAGAAAGCAAATACCCCACAAATATTATTGGGTTTCTCCCATTCAGTTGTTCTGCCTTGACTATGAGCAGTGGCACTTGGGATAATTAGATCACTTAAAATCAAAACAATATATTGATCAAGAATATAAATTTTAAGTTTCAAATGACTAATGATTCCAACCAATCCAAACCATGCCTTTTTTCAGACTATGTTTCTTAGGTCACATCTCTTTTATCAAGAAAGATAAGCCTATAGCTCTGTAAACATCTCCCCTTTCCCTTTCCCCTTTTATAGAAGCGATGAAAGAAAAGGCATTCTTACAAGCTTACCATTCACAAAATGTCAGGAAAAGTGTTAGAAAGAACAAAAATTAATTCCTTCAGTTTTACCCAGTTTCAGCCCAATGGTTCAGTAGTGTTGAGTAAGGGACCTCAGATGAGGAGGTTCTGAGATTGGGGCCTCCAAGGCTCTTGATTAAAATGTCTTTTGATAGGCTGTTTCTTGTTCAGATCCAATATTGACCCAGGTTCCAGTATTGGGTCTTATCTCTCATACAGCTTTTATTCTGATCCTTCTGATTAGGCTGGTTCCTCTCATCTAGTCAAGATGAGTTACATCAAGGATGGGATAACATATAAGTTTTTATCTATCTTTGCAACAGTGCAAAATATCATAAGCTACAGTAAATCTTATTCTAAGTAACTATTGTAAAAAGATGAAATAATCTGCCTACCTTTTAAACCTGGGCTGTTTTATCCTACATGGTTCGTGAAGTTTTTTTCCATTATCTTTTCTTTGCTGAGTGGCAAAAGCTGTATTTACATTAACCACCATATCCTGTTATTAAATTTCTCACATTGAATATGATGCAAGAAAGCAAGGTATCAGTTATTAAATAAATAAACTATATGATTGGAACATTCATAGTAATATCTGTTTGTAACTTCAGCAGATGTGAAATTTATCTTCTGCACAAACCAGGTGTCCTTGACTAATTTTTCTCTAGTTAATTCAGTGAAGCATAGCACGGCACGGCACGGCACGGCACAGCACAGCATAGCATAACACAGCATAGCATAACTCCCATTTTGTGCCTGAAACTTTGATTTCAGGTCCATGTTGATTTCTAATCCAGATGTACAGTATCAATTGTGAATGCATAAAACATGTCACATACTGAACTGAGGTAATTTTTCATTTCAGCACTAATACACATATAATGCTCATCTGCTTCATTGTTTTTTGGCACATGTTTCTCTCAGATTCTGGATCAAGAATGAGACCTACTTGCTGGAAGTCTTGTACAAAACACAATAGATATGTTTTATTGACTAACCATAGAAAATGGACTCTATTTTTTAATGGAGACAACTTGTATACATTTATAGGATGATTTGACAAATACTATATAGCTATGGTACTCATGAACCTATAGGTTTTGTTGCTCCTAGAGAATGACTAATATATTTGTTTCCTCCATCTCTGCAAGATTTGCTTTATCAATGTGCAGATGAAGTGGAACCATTAGTGTCTTAGGATCATGAAAAAGTAGTATGTTGGTAGTCTCTGTGTCTATCTACCGTTTATCTATCATCATCAATCTTATTTTTTTGTTTTTGTCTCAGACATTGCAATCACTTGCCTGGCCTAGGATCCTATGCACCTTGACTTCAAAGGAAGACAGGCAGTATGCTACTGCTGTTTTGCCGCTGGCAAGAAAATCTCTTGAGCCAGCCCAGCATTTCCATGGCTAAAACTAATGATGCTACTTTGTCCTCTTTAGCTTGCCTTCTTATAAATGTGTCAAGTTTCAGTCCTGTGGTGACTGATGTAGTACTAAGAAAGCACAAAGTTGCTGAGCGGGCATCTCAAAGCACAGGGTGAGAATCTATTTCTATTACTTCTCTTCTTCTGTGCCCATCATCTTTGCAGGAAAAAAAAAACCCTCTAGACTCCTATTGGATTCCAGGGTTGTTGTTTTTTTTATAGTATCAAGGGCTGTTCGTTATACTCTATATCACTTACCTATATCAGTTGAGGTTATTCTGGAGAACATAATCTCACAAGCACAGGATAATGAAATACAGTCTTTCTTGCTTATCTATACTTGCATGCTGGAGTAATATTAAGTTCTTAATGCAGAATTCTGTGAATATCAGTAATGCCAATTTAGCTTTCAAAATAGCGGAAGGAAATTCCCAAGAATCATGTTCAGCATTTTAGAATGGGCTGTCTCATTTGATCTACATCTAAGACCAAGGCCTTTCTTGGATTTTGCATATAACTGTTTATTCTAATACAGAACTCTTTGACAGTAGCTCTCCTCTAGAATAAGTTTGGTGTAGTGGTTAAGCACAAGCCAAGTGAGAGGTTTTGCACCAGTCACTCTCTTTCAGCCCTAGGAAGAAGACAGTGACAAACCATTTCCAAAATACTATCAAGGAAACTACAGGGATTTATCCAGGCAGTTGCCAGGTGTTAACAACGACTCAGAGGTGTCCACTCTGGCACATACACATACTTCTATATAGGCCAGTTGTTCAACAGATGTCATGGATTTGCTGAAAGATTGATTTTGAGAATCAATATTTACAAAGCATATGAAGAGGTATCCCCTTTTCACAACATAGCATATAAAATTATTTAGAAAGTTAGTAATACTTGATGCAAGTGATTTTAGCATTCTTTGCTAGAAACCAAACTGACCTGATCATTATCATTTAATATCTGAGATTCTTGGATATAGGCTCTATCATGCTTACCAATCACCACTCCTTTGTCCAACATCATGTCTTGACAAATCCTGGTGCCATATAAAATGCAAAAACAGATTATGAGCTCCCTACATTGCAAACTATATGCTTAGAAATCTACGCAATAATGCCAGGAGATTAGGCAGATTCAATAGCACCAATTACTGTAGCATTCAATGACATCCTATTCTGTTTGAAATAATGAATATATGTGCTTTCAATTGAACAGTTTTTCACTGGATACCCCTATTTCTTATTTAACAGTTTACTGTATTAGATTCCTCTAGAATAATATTAGAGCTATAGTAACAGAATCTTGCACGTTTGATTGTGTTGCATTTCCTCCTCCTTCCTATAGTTCAGTGAATTAGGGAGACATCTGCCTAGCCCAGGTAGGCAACGCACAAAACACTCAAAAGAGCGCACTTGGACCCGTTCACACCAAAAACAAAACACTGGGAGCCAGCAAAACCCTTTGATATCTAAAATTAAGATACCTGCATATATCCTTTTTACCTTTATTATAGGTGTAGTGTGTGTGTATGTTGTGTGTGTGTATATGTGTGTGTGTATATAGATAGTATATAAGAAAGCCCGAACACCAAAATACCTACATATGTTGTGTGTGTGTGTGTGTAATGTATACCACACACACATACGACACACACGAAGAGAAGAACACAGAACACACACATATACACATTAAAATAAAAGTAAAAATATGACTCTTGGGAATATCCATACTATTAAAACAATGATCACCAAGAGAATGCTTTAAGAGAATAAAATTACATACACACACAGGTAAAAAAAGGATATATGCAGTGTTATCTTCATTTTAGATGTCAAAAGGGTCTCTCTCTCCCTCCCTCTCTATCTTCCCTTGGTCTGCCACTCCTCTTCCCCCACTCTCTCTCTCTCTCCCTCTCTCTCTCTTTCTCCCCCTCCCCTCCTATCTGCTGCTCACCTGGCAAGCTTCAGGCTGTTGTCCAACAAGATCAGGGGTATGCAACCTCGTCTCTTTTATGACTCATGGACTTCAACTCCCAGAATTCCTGAGTCAGCCTAGCTGGGCTAGCTAGCTCTCTCCTGCCCTTCCTGCTTCCTGCGTCCTTCAGAGACGCAGCAAAGGGAGGAGCTCCGCCCAGAAAGCTTTTCAGCTCCTCGGAGAACACTGTGAGTGCACTCTCTTTTACACACACACACACAAAACACACACACACACACACACACACACACACACACACACACACAGGGAGAGAAGCAGGGAAGTGCAATTGCCTCTCTCTGTCTCTGTCTCTCTCTGCAAAGGCAGAGGAGGCTGGGAGCCACAGGGGAAGGCTCAAAGAGCCGCATGCGGCTCCGGAGCCGCAGGTTGCCGACCTGTGGCCTAGCCACTTTCAAATGTTATCTTGCTGGTCTGGGCTTAAAAATATTTCAGCCCCTTTTGCCTTGGCAATGCCTTCTGCGTACCTCTGTCAGGGTCATCTGTCTTATTCTCTGTGCACATCTACACTGGCATCTTCTCCAATAAGATATTAATGGAGCTTATTTGATATTTTCAGCTGATATTGAAACATGACTGTTTTAGAGGTTTATCCAAACTGATTTGCTGATGCAACTGAATTTTCCCCAACCAGGGGTCCCTTGGAAATTTTTGGATAACAATTTCCAGAGTTCCTAACCATATATTGCTTGTGTGCTAGCCCAGGTTAAGCTAGAGAGCAGAAAGCCCTGTTCTGGATGCAGATAATTAAATTTCCCCAAATGAAAACAAGCAAATATTGCAATTTTCAGATTACAGCTTAATTTTGCTTTTTTACTTTTTTAATTTTGCAAACATTGGTTATGCCTAATGGGAAAAAAAGAAGCAAGGATTCCTTTTAAGAAGGAAGTAAGCCCTCAGGTTCTCATTTTTAATCAGACTATTCTTGCTTTAGTCAGCCAGGGAACCAGATAAAAAGAGCCAGTTAACATGCTAAAGGTCAGAATTTCAGAAGTGCTGCTACAAATATGTTACAACCAACTATTAATTCTGCTTTCTTTTTTAAAGGGCTTGGTCTTGTCCAAGGAGATGCCAGGTACATTTTTCTT